TCCACCACTATATGCAGCGGTGGCAGATTTAGCATGACTTCTAGTGCAGCTGTCGGGGTCGATGCCATCGCCCCCGTTATACCTAAACAGGCCAATCTCTGAATTCTATTCAGTTTTTCCCTCGCTGTGGTCTGTTGTGTTTTTTGCCACCATACCATAGCGCCGTAGAGAATCCTAGGTCTTACTATCGACGTATACAACCAGATGACATCTTTGGTTTCAGTCCCCAGGTGCTCCCAATAAGGCGACGGCATACACACATTGTCTGCTTCGCCTTACTCACCACTTTTTCCAAGTGCGCATTCCAGGTAAGCTTATTATCCAGTATCACTCCTAGATATTTTACTTCCCTGGAAAGCCTAATGCTAATGCAGTCATCTATCCATTTCAAAGCCTCTTTCATGAGTTCTGAAACGATAATATTATGTTTCCCGACTATGAGAACGACTAAGTCGTCCGCATGGCCTTGTGTATAAAATCCCTTTCGATTAAGGCCCTCCAGTGCGCCGTCCACCACTAATCCCCATAACAAGGGAGACAGTACGCCTCCCTGGGGGCAGCCCCGGCCTACCTTACACTTGGATGTCTCTCCCGAAAGAGTAGCTGTTACTGTCCGGTTTCTCAACATGGTATCTATCCAACGACATAAAGTGTCTTCAAGGCCCCTGTTGCAAACTGCCGAATTAATAGATTCGAAAGGTGTATTATCAAATGCCCCTTCAATATCTAAAAATGCTGCCAAAGCTAGAACTTTGTCGTCCATCGCCCTCTCTATCCTAGAGACTAGGCTATGAAGGGCTGTGTCGACTGATCTGCCTGCCTGATAGGTTTATTGGTACTTGTGTAGAGGATTTGCCCTCAACACCCCGTCTCTTATATGTCTATCAACTATTCTCTCCAACGTTTTCAGGAGGAAAGATATTAAACTTATCGGGCAATATGCCTTTGCCTGGGCATACGATGGACGCCCTGGTTTAGGAATAAACGCCACGTTCGTCGATCTCCATGCCAGCGGTATATAACCAAGTGCAATGCTGGCTCTGAAGACGTGATTTGAAACCGGAGCTAGACAGTCCACCCCCTGCTGTAACAGTACGGGTAGGATTCCATCGGCTCCTGGTGATTTAAATGGGTCAAAAGAACTTATTGCCCATCTTATTCGTGACTGACTCACCAACGTCTTGGCAACCTCCCAGTTCTGTCGAGACCTGGTCGTTACCCTCTGCTGGTGATCCCAGTCATGTTCATCTCCGTGGTTTAATAACCTGGAGCCTGGAAAGTGAGTATTTAGAAGTAGCTCTAATGTCTCCCTTCCAGTTTTAGTGTATTCCCCACTCGGTGGTTTAAGAGACTCGAGTTTCATATTTCCCTTCATAGAGAAAAATCTCTGTAGTTTAGCACCCAATTAGATTACTCGTTGAAATAGAAACAAAAATTTAATTTTATTTTTTTGCTCTACTAAACTACTTATTTCATGATAAAGATGAAAGAGATGAAAAAGTTTCTAAATTAATCTGTCTCTCCAAAAGATGTATTGCAACAATTGAAATCCTAACGAGTCAAATGTTTTCATGAAAAATATACAGGGTGTTGTTGATTTCACTCGTTCCAAATAAGATTATTTTAAATTTAAAACTCGATTTTGACCGCCATATGTAAACGGCCGTAACTCCTTAACGAATTGTTTCCGGACATATGTCCATAGGAAGTTTTTGCATATAATCCTGAAACACCCTGTATATATATATATATATACAGGGTCGGAAAGTCCCCATGGTTCATCGGCCGTTACGTGAGAGCGATAAAGTAAGTCATAGAAATTCATGCGATAGAGAAGGATGGCTATAATGAAGGCGTCTCATAGTCACCGCCCGTTTCGCCCTTCCACAAATAAGATCCACTTCCACTTGTAATTCAGCGACCGGTGGTCATCTTTGTTTTCGTCGTTTGCTTTTTCTGTAATAGATGTCACTACGTATACAATTTCGTCTTCGGTATCGCCCGTCTCATTTTTCGCACGTTAGAAAAAAATTATACAGCCTTCAATTCGCATTTTAGAAAAAAACTTTATTAACATTTTTTATGTAAAATTCTTTCGAATGGCGCAGTTAATTTTTTAAAATTATATTTTTTTATATATTTTGCAAAAACTAATTTTGCAATTAATTTGTTAAATAAATAATTTAGCGTACACTCTACAGTTGGTAACTTTTTACATGTTCTTTCTGACAACTTTACAAAGCGAAAAATAAAAAGTTCTCTCTTCCAGTAATTTTCGCGAAGTCAAAATCTATCTTGACTCTACTAAAAATAATTAAGTAATATTTCGGCGTAAGCTAGAATAAATGGAAAATTCCAGTTATTAATAAGCTTTATATGAATGTAAATATTGTTATTTAAATAACTTCGAATAATATTTATAATTGCGGCATTGTACATTTAAGTATATTTTCCTACATCAAAGGTATTTTTCGATGCAATTAAATCATTATTATCCATTAATCGTCCTAATCCGGACATAACCACCAAAAACACCGGCAGGTAATTCTTGGGTATAAATGTGATATAGCCATGCAATTGATGCAGTATCTTCTGGTTGCGCAGTTGCAGAGTACAGTGCGTTATATGATATCATAGATTTCTTTTTGTACATCGTAAAAAAATGTACGAAATAAATTATTTGTTCTGTTCTTAGTGTGAATTGTCCTCACGTATCCATGAAATGTGACCCATTTGTTAAATAAAAGATAAAAACTGAGCAAAAATAAACTCTAATTACCAAAGCATACTTTTCAGTTTTAAACAAAAAAATAAAACGGTCGCGCGTAGTGTTTATATTTACCGTTTGTTCATCACCAAAATATAATATTTTCGTGCCATTCAGTCATGCACAGACAAAGGCAAAAAACCGTCCGAAAAAGTAATCCCCAATTAGAGGGGAATTTCTTTGTCGCTTACCAAAAAAAAATAATAAAAACAAATAGGTGTCGCTACTAACACCGTTTAATTTTAATGACCAAGTTAGCGGACTACATATGAAGCGCTTCGCAGTGTTCCAACAGTGACAATATTGTGGTACTTTTTGTGATGGTGTTCTTTTTATTATTGCTAATGGCGTCGTTTTTTGCCCCACTTTGGGGCCGTGATGAGAGCAGCAAGGTGGGGGCGTTGTGCCAGTGTGTGCCGTCCAATTTGTGCGCCGATAATGACGCCGCCGTCAATGGCCAGGGACTATTTGATATCCGGTAAGCTATATACTTTAAAGGTTCACAGAACGAACAGAACTATAAAGTGAAGTAAATATAACAAAAAATTATGATACCTAATACTTCTGGACAATAATTTTCAACCGTTGCTTTATTTTATGTCCATAATAATTTCATCTTTGATATGCATCAAATTTTACACTGACAATGAGTGAATTTTACTGAACGTATAAGTGAGAAGTCATTTTATTACTTTTTATTTAAAAACAGCCCAAACTGAATATTGCACTGCTCTGTAAATATATGTAAAAGTTATGATCTACGTAAGGATGCTATAATATTTGTATTATATCACATATCATAAAATATACACGGTGTTTCAATTAAAACTTCCCATATGGGAATTATCGGAATTAAAAAAATATATAAAAAAAACCTGAGACACGTCGATTTTCTTTTCAAGGGGGGACACATGATGACGTAAATTATGGTGTCTTTGAAGCTACCCCTAGCCAGGAGCATAAAATACCCTTAAACTTTAAATGGAACCCTATGTTGAGTGACACCTCACTTTAAATTTTTAATTAAAATTTAAAGGCAATTCCGCTCAGAAAGACATACGACTTTTTAAATTTTGGTTTGGATTTGACAATAAAATCATCACGTAAAGAATAAGACAAAATATCAATGAATAAAAGTTATTTCATTAAATGTTCAAATTGGTTTCCCACCTCTTTCATACAATAATAAATCTTTGCTTCACTTTTGAAAGAACATTTCGAAACATTTCGGGTGTTATCTGAGGACATTCTTCAACAATTTGCCGACGAAACCGATGACAAATGAGTTCGTCCGTGTTACATATAGATAACATGTACATTCACAGCAGTTATCTCCCTCTACGTCTTGTAAAGCGCCCAGCCGTTGGGAGACGAAGCTGAATAAAATGCTATCTAAAAAATCAAAACATGTACAGGGTGATTCGCTATATTTTGTTTTAAGTTACAAAAAAATGTGAAATATAAAAGTTGCACGATTTTTTATAAATTTATCGAAAATGATAGTAGAAAAACAAATGAAGTCCAAACAAAATGGCGCCGGATGTTAACTTTGCTAAGTTAAATGGAACACCCTGTATATTTTTACATATTTGGATAGAACGTTCCCTGTCGAGCATAGCCATATAGGGTTTGTTGGGTCCATCTGTAACAATAAGCAAGATACTTTAAAAAACGAAAAGAAGGGTTTTTATTAAGAAAATAATACATTTTGTAATTGTTAGACCTCTTTTAGGCATTTCTGCCTTTTTTCCAATTACGTAAGGATTTACAGATTTAATTATAATATGTATATTTTTATATATCGCACATTGATGCGGTCCAAAATGCTTATAGGTAATGTAACGAAATCTGACTAATTAGGCCGTGAGAGGTCTAATTACTCATGGACCTTATATGGTAGGTCGTGACAATGACAGGTAGTAATGTCTTGACAACATTGTTATTGATTGATAGTATGTAGAAGTAGAAAATTATTTAGAATTAAAATAGACTATGAAGAACTTTTTTTGCTCTTTTAATTCCTATAATATTTCAATTTTCTACTTCTGTGTAACCCATTTTAATTAAATAATAATACAAACTGTCAAACAATAACAATGTTGTCATGACATTACCTGTCACTGTCACGGCCCATCTAACATTGTCCATGAGTAATTAAGCATCGCACGGCCTAATTAGTGAGATTTAGTTAAAATACTTATTCGCATTTTGGACCATATCAATGTCTGATCTGTCAAAATATATTATGACTAAATCTGTAAATCCTTACGTAACTGGAAAAAGACAGAAATGCCTGAAAAAGGTTAAACAATTACAAGATGTTTTATTTTCTTAATAAAAAAAACTTCTTATCGTTTTTTAATAGTATCTCGCTTTTTGTTAGCGATGAACCCAACAAACCCTACATGACTATGCTCGACAGGGAACGTTCTAACCAAATATGTAAAAATATACAGGGTGTTCCATTTAACTTAACAAAGTTAACATCCGCGGCCATTTTGCTTGGACTTCATTTGTTTCTCTACTATCATTTTCGAAAAATTCATAAAAAATTGTGCAACTTTTATATTTCACATTTTTTTATAACTCTTAAAACAAAAAAGTTAAAGGGGGATCAAAATATAGTAAATCACCCTATACATATGCTTAAATATATCTTCGTATTTCTCACCGAGAACAAAATATAAAAATTTGTATAACCATTTTCTTTGCAATAATAGTTATACCATCTTCCAGGTTTTGTTACTGTCATAAAATCCTATTTGTCTGGTGTCCTATGGGGGTAGTTTTGGCCCAATCCAGGGGGTTACGAGGGTTGAAGACAGCCGTGATTATCATATTCGTTGATCAACACCATTGAAAACGGGGCAAAGAGATTAGAGTTCATCGCTGGGGCTCGAAATAAAAAAGGGGTAAATATGGCCAATTGTGGGGATGCGCAGCGTTAGAAATTCAACGGACCTCAAATTCGAATTAAGTAGTCGAGGAAATTAAGCACTGAACCTCTGAAATCTGTGCAGTAAGAAGGATCGTGATGCGGTTTTTTGCATTCGATTCGTTAGAGCGTCCAGAAAGTTTGTGACCCTATGTGATCAATGAGAAATGAAAATTGCATCGGTGCATAAGAAAAATGCATTTTTAAAATTGCATCTCGAAGAGTTAAAATATGAAAAATTTATAACTCGGAAAATATTGACGGAAATGAGTTCAACTTTGCTACTCGGGGGTTTTTGGGGTCGCTGAATACGAATATCACGACGGCAACGGTGTCCGAGGTACCTAGTGCCCCAGGGCGGCCGGCTTCCACGTCGTCTCCTGGAGTTTTGTGGAAATTCGTTATAAACTTAGCTGAAACTTGTTACCTCGGGATTTTTGAGGTCGCTCTACACGAATACCACGACAGCAACGGTCCACCAAGGATCATGAATATGATTTTCTGTGGGTGCAGAACTGATTGCGGAACATCGTGTGGATGTAGGAAGCACGGTTTGAACTGCAGCATCGCGTGCAAAAATTGTGCAGGCATTAATTGCACGAATAATGATAAATATTCTGCAAATGATTTTCTTCGGAAGTGGAAACACTAGATGAAGAAGATGAAGAAGATAATGAAAATTAAAGAATTAAATAAGAAAAATTAAAATTGTTAAGATATTTTAGTAGATACCTATATTTTTTAAAAACGTATTTTTTTGTAATGAATAAAATGTATTTTTATAATAAAAAATAATTAAGAATGAAATAGTTGTCAAAGAAACCGGCTATCCTGGGTACTAGGTACCTCGAGGACCGTTACCGTCGTGATATTCCTGTTGATCGACCCCAAAAACCCCGAGGTAACGAGTTTCGGCTAAGTTTATAACGAATTTCCAGAAAACTCTAGGAGACGACGTTGAAACCGGTCACCCTGGGGCACTAGGTACCTCGGAGACCGTTGTCGTCGTGATATTCGTTTTGAGCGACCCCAAAAACCCCGAGGTAACGAGTTTCGGCTAAGTTTATAACGAATTTCCACAAAATTCCAGGGGACGACTTGGAAACCGGCTACCCTGGGCACTAGGTACCTCGGAGACCGTTGCCGTCATGATATTCATGTTCAGCGACCCCAAGAACCCCCGAGTAGTAAAATTGAACTAATTTCCGTCAATATTTTCCGAGTTGTAAATTTTTCATATTTTAACTCTTCAAGATACAATTTTAAAAATGCATTTTTCTTATGCACCGATGCAATTTTCATTTCTCATTGATCACATAGGGTCACAAACTTTCTGGACGCTCTAACGAATCGAATACAAAAAACCGCATCACAATCCATTTTACTGCACAGATTTCAGAGGTAAGGCCGTTTTTAGTGCTTTATTTCCTCGACTAACCGTCGAAAACAGGGGAGGTGGTTGGTTTCCTAGCTAGAACAAATATTTCACTGCCTTGGACATTCTTTTTCTACACCATTTGGCTTCTTTATGTAAATGTCTCACAATCAGACGTACATTCGCGTTTAATGAATAGCAATTCCGAATACACTACATTCATACGAATTTGTATATTATTCTAATAGTAATTTCCTTCAATTATTTTGTTTCAGAGTAGATAAAACCTGTCCGAACTTCGAGATCTGTTGCGAAAATCACATTCCCGAACTGAGCTTACCGAATGTGCCTGCAACATATAGTGGTTGTGGATATCAAAACCCTATACGCGTAAATCCCAGAATTATGTCTGATTCGAAATATGCTGAATATGGAGAACTACCTTGGACTGTTGTAATACTAGTGAGAGATATTGCCAAGACTGACAGGAACATGTATAAATGTGGAGGAAGCCTGATTCATCCGCAAGTTGTTCTTACAGCCGCCCATTGCCTCCTTAATGTTAAGCATAACATTCTTACGGTACGTGTTAAATGATACCCAATAAGAGAAATAATAAAAATGTACTTGTGGTTTGAAAATAACATTTAAATCTAAAGATTTTCTTAAAATATACAAGGTGTTCTGAAAGTCCATCAGGAAACTCCGGGAAGTGATTCTAGGCATTAAAATAATAGCAGTATGTAGGTAATGTTTTTTTTTTCGAACTGTCAATTGTTTGCAAGTTATAGGTTGTCAAAGTTCATTTTTTTATTTTACTTTTTAAATAACTTATTTAATTCAAGTTCGATTAGTTTTTCATTTGGCACACCCAGTACGTAGATCAAGCTCTATTGGACCAGTCAGAAAAAACTTTCAGTATACGCTGCTAGAGAGCACTTTACCTAGAACTCAAAATTTGTTTTGTTCATAACTTTTTCCCTTGCTAGACATCACATTATTGAAAAGAGAAACACTGTCAAAAAAATTATGTATTCAAGCCGATAAATGTAACCATAATGTAGCAGGAAATCGCTATTAAAGTTTTACTAACATCTAATTTTTTATCATTCTTTCTGTAATCAATCAAGGTGCTATGGTTCAAATAAATGTAATTCAATGATATTACGAATTGTAACGAAAATTGTTTAAAATAATTTTTTTTGGCTCTGTTATAGCATTGTAGAGAAATAAGATGACTAATAATATTTTAGTTTTACAAGAGATGATATTACAAATTGTCATAATGCTCATAATAATCATAATAATAATAGAAAACAGCTGATGTTAACTAATTGTAAGTATAACAGATTTTCAATCCTATTTTATCATAATAAATGTTCGTAATGATCTCCATTCAATTCAATACACTTTCTGATACGTGAAACAATATCGGTTTCTAATCGCGTCAGGCGGTCATTTTTCAAACGTATAAAAAAATGTTTTGAAGCGAATGGAGGTCATTACGAACATTTGTTATGATAAAATAGGATTGAAAATATGTTATACTGTAACGAACTTTTATTAATTTAGCCGCTAAGTATCCGATGAACGATTGTCTTTTCCTATGTTACTAACACAGACCACCTAGACTGGCTTATAGAGCGACTTTGGTGAAAACACTTCGGAGCCTGATTTGGAGCCCAGCGTTCAGTCGTGTCCTAGCATTTGACGTGTACGCATCGCTGTGATTTCGATAATTAGACGTTTTATCATGGGCAAGTGTATTGTAAAACATTGTGTAAATAGAAGTGATCGAGTTGGTGAAGAGAGGCGAAAAGTTTCCTTCTTTAGGTAAGTAAAAAAAGGAATATATAAAAGGTAAATATGTACGCCATTTTTCGGTTGACGTCACAAGTTTCCAGGGTTAGCTTTATAATTTTGTTCGCCCACATAGTGTAGTGATTAACGTGATATTGTTATTATAAAATAATGAATGAATTACTGTAAAATATTTTTAGTAATTATTTACTTTATGTGTCTCAAGTTTTTATGAAATTTTACCAATTCCCGTCATTTCGAGATAGCTGAAAATTAATAAAATATTTTTTTCAATTGAAAAAATCGCAAACAAAACTAATTTCAAATTCATGTTCAATACCCTGGAAACGGAGAGTTGACAAAATGTGATTAGAAAAAATCAGAG